GAAGGACTAGAGGGTGCCATTCTGAACAGGGGCTGGCTAGAATGGAGGAAAAATGTAGAACAAAGCTCAAATACATTTTTTATTTTTTTAAAGGTCAGACCTACTGGACGGATAGTAACTAGAGGAACCACTGAGACTATTGCCCGAAAACACCCTTTTAACCTGGAACTGAAGCCGCTCCTGGAGGCCACCTTTCAGTCAAATAATAGATGGGTCTAGTAAAGAAGCAATAATACCTATGATGTGTTCCATAGAGCAACAACTAGATGAGACCAAATGGGCAGCATGAGACCAAAGCAAAGATGAAAAGGCAAAGAAGGGCTGAGAAGCTGCAGGGACGGAAACAGGGAAGGCCAGGTGGGAATGGGGAGAGTACTGGCGCATTGTAGAGATAACAACCATTGTCACTCTGTACATATTGTGGAATGGGAAATGAATTTTCTGTGTAAACTTTCACCTTAAACACAATGAAATGTTCGGAAACAACACCTCAGTTTTGCTTGGTTTTCTGTTAACATCAACATATTTGTGGACAGAAGGTTGCAGTCTGAACTGCAATGTTAATGTTTACCTCATGATATATCAATAATGTTGTTGTTGTTGTTGTTAAGTGCCTTCGAGTCGGAGCCGACCCATAGCGACCCTGTACAGGGTTTCCGAGGGTGTAAATCCTTACGGGAGTAGAAAGCCTCATCTTTCTCCCGCGGAGCTGCTGGTAGTTTCGAACCACTGACCTTAAGGTTCGCAGCCCGATTCGTAACCACTACGCTACCAGAGCTCCTTAGCTAGCAAGAATATGGCAAGATCTTTAAGAAGTATTTTGCATACATTGGTCTTGTTATTAAGTGTCATCAAGTCAGTCCTAACTCACAGCAACCCTGCATAGGGTTTCTGAGAAGCGGCTGGTGGGTTTGAACCACTAACCTTTCAGTTAACAGTCCAGTGCTTATCCTACAGTACCATGCTCATAAATCCCTCAACATCAGCTGCATCCAAAATTTATAGATAAGGAAACTGAGATACAGAGAGGTTAAGTAATTTTCCCAAAGTAATTCAGCTAGTAAGTCCCAGAATCAAGACTTCCTCCAGCAGTCTTGCTCCAACAATTGCGCTTTTAAAGGAAATACAGTGAAGGATACAGAAAACAAAATCTATGACCAGCCTTTAGCTTGCCCAGGTCCTGCATAGACTGACCTATGGCCAGCTTCCTGGCTTTCTTAACTACCCAAGCACAGATCTTGAAGCCAGGGACATCCATGTCAAAGCAATGTGCCAGCAGGTTGTTGTGTTTGGGCAGGGAGGGCAATCAATGGCTGAGGGGGTATAGCTGGGAAAAGCCATTTGTTGGTGTTGCAGGATTTCTACCTTTCTGGAAGTTGTCAAGATTATTTGCAGTGTTATCATAAGAGAAGGTTAGTGAAGACTATCAATCTAGGTTTGAGAACTGGCTCTATCATTTCATTTTTCACAACTAGGAACAAGTCACTTAACCTCTGCTGGCTGGAATTCTCCACCCATAACATGATGATGATTATAGCAACAGTAACTACCCTACATCTGTAAAAAGCAAGTGAAATAATGTGCGGAATGCCTGAAAATATGAACCAGGAGAGTTAGTAGTACTGTTGTTGTTGTTGTTATTGTTATTATTATTGTTAGGCCTCCAACCTATCAGGGAAAAAAATGCCCATCCTCTCCTCTCCCCTATCCCTAGGTGCCAAAGCCTCAAAATAAATTATACATCTGATCTTGAGAAAGCTTTTCTAAATACAAACAAATTCTGTCTATATGCACAATTTGCCTCTATTCCAAAATTCCCTTGTAGTATGAGACGACATGATCATTTTTTTTTTTAAGCTATGAAGGTGAGCTTTGATAAACTGCCATTATTAAGATTTAATGGATTGCTATTGGTATTGACTGATAAATTTTGGAGTCCAGTTAAATTTTTTTAAAAAAGAAAATTTAAGAAAGATTTTATTTGGGAGTAAAGCAAGTCTGGTACTCAAGAAGAGATGCCAAGAACCTCCATTTGAGAAAGAGATGGATATCTTTTTATAGACATTTGAGGGATTTAGTTTAAAAAAGAATAAGGTTCTAGAAAGTTGTGACTTAAGCAAAGGTAGGTCCTTTTAAAGTGGGGGCAAAAGTGTGACTGGGCTCTGCAACCTTGCTTCTGTTTTGATTTCACTATGATGAAGTCTCAAGAGAATGTAAATTTTGAAAATGTAAAGTTTATAGGTGGAAACACCAGGGGCTGGTCTAAACTGGTTATAGTCATTTCCAGTTGATGCTGTTGTTGTTGTTAAGGGCTGTCGAGTCGGTTCCAACTCATAGTAACCCTGTATAGGGTTTCCAAGGAGCAGCTTGTAGTTCATTGTTATGCACCATAGAGTCGATTCTGACCCAAAGCAACCCTGCATAGGGTTTCCAAGGAGCATCTGGTGAGCTTGAACTGCCAACCCTACGATTCAAACCGACTTTAACCCACAACACTATCCCAGAACTCCAGTGCTTATCCAATATTGCCACACCAGGAGTCCAGTTGATACTGGAGGTGCTCAAAACAACTGATACATGGACCAACCATATAGTCCACATTTTGTCTTTCTCTATGTTGGCATGCTGATTATAACCAGCTTCGATGTATGGTGCACCTTCCCCTCGCTCTCATTTTCTGTTTTCATGTACTTCACTGTCACATCATAAATCAATATGATCTTTAAGTCTTTGTATTGTCCTGCTGCTGACACATGAGGAGATAACCTTAACATAGAAGCCAAGGGAACACACACATTCGGGGAGAACATGAGAAAACCAGCCAAGTGTCTAGGCAGTCTGGCTGCATGCTGCTAAACTTTGAAAGAGTTTAAAACATACATCTAAGAAGTCTCAAGGAGCTCTGGTAGCATAGTGGTTACGAGTAGGGCTACTATCTTCAGGGTCAGCAGTTCAAAACTACCAGCAGTTCCATAGGAGAAAGATAAGGCTTTCTGCTCCCGTAAAGATTTTCAGTCTCCGACACCCTATTCAGGGTCACTGTGAGTTGGAACTGACTCCACGGCACACCACCACCACCACCAAGAAGTTTCATTTGGCAGATTGTGGAGACCAGATCTTTAGATACATTCTTCACTTTTAAACAAAATTGTTTATATCATATACAATAAATATAAAACTACATGCAAAGCTGCCTTTCTTCGTCCTTTACTGTTTAAATTTTCCTGGTTTCTAATTTTGTCATTGTCATTACTGAAGATCTATTGGATAGCTATTGATGTTAATTGATAGATTTTGGAGTCAGGTTACATATATATATATATTTTTTTTTTTAATTAAAGAAATATTTTATTCGGGAGTAAAGCAAGTCTGGTGCTCAAGAGGAAATAACCAACAAAATGTTGTCATTAAATGCTGTTGACTTGGTTCTGACTCTTAACTACCCTGTAAAGTATTTCAGAGGCTGTAAGTCTCTTCAGAGGTTGTAGTTCAGCAGATAGTCCAGCAGATAACTTCATCAAACTTTCTAATTTTACACAATATATACTATACTCAAAAGTTGAGTAAAACAATTTGGCAGCAGCCAGACAGAGTGTATGAAGGGGAAAGGTAGCGGGTGTGCAGTCAGTAATAGAAACATTTATAGTCTCACATAATCTACTAGACCATCTTGGACACCATTTTCCTCTAGAGAGGAGGATCCAGGGATCCAAGACCAAATTTATCTTTCTTGAGGAAGGGATGTGTATTTTGCACGTATGCTTTAATTAAGAAAATTAAATTTACAAAGTTCCCAGGTTGTTGTTGTTAAGTGTCGTCAAGTCAATTCCGACCCATAGCGACCCTGTACAGGGTTTCCAAGGAGCAGTTGGTGAGCTTGAACCACAGACTTTGCAGTTCAAATGCCTTTATAGCCCGGGTTGTAGAGACGCCAAATCTGTAGTTTATTTGCATTAGCCAAGGATGCTTGCTTTGTGAAAAGGCCTCAAAACAGAATCCCTTTGTGTATCTATCAGTTGCTGCAATGCACACTTTTGACATATCCCCGTTGCAATCAAGGTGCTCTTTTAATTGTATTCGTCCCCATACCCCAAATGATCAAATGATTTTCCAATGTTAATCTCTCTTCTAAAACTTCAGATAATTCTATCAGTTGCCTGTTGCCCAGAAATCAGCTGAAAAGCATTCAGAATAATCCTGTTCTCCCTTCTTGCCGGGTTTCCATTTGTGAAATCTCTAAAACTAAGCAAAGAGACCCTTTACCCAGCCTTCTTTCTCTCCTACAACCCCCAACAAAGCACTTAAGCCTGAACCATCCTCTCTTCCCATGGTCCAGCTGATCTAGGATCTGAAGTATATCTGCTCTCCCAGCTGCCCCTTCCCTCTTTGGTTCTCATCATAATGCCAGTAAAACAAAAGCCAGTACTTGATTTGTTCATGTTCTTTTTTAAAAAAAAAACACAAATAACATTATTTTCCATATAAACATACATTTTTATGAAAAAATAGAAAAAGTACTATAATCTTGGTCACCTTTCCAGCAGGAACATGTTTCATAGTTCAGAGTCCGAGGTCAGAACCTCTAGAGTAGATGTTGTTCTCTTAGCCTGGTTCTAAGACACTTTCAAACATAGGTAAATCCTTGGTCTACAATCAAATTCTATTAGAGATGATTTAAATATAGCAGTGATAAATGTCTAATTAATATCCAGGAATTAGGCTACTGAATGTAAACTAGAATTCACTATCAAGAATATATTTGCATCGGTATGCAAACATTATATAAATACTTTATCAGCTTGCAAAAAATACATTAGATTTTATCTGCAACAGTTTCCATCAGTTAATAAGTTACTTGCTTTACACACACACACACACAAAGCTGAGTTGTATTTCTCCTGATTGAAGTGTGAAAATCACAGCAGTTCTGGGTCCGAGGGACACCCACCGCAGCCATATCCCAAGCTGGGATGAGTGGGACTAACTCTGAGCGAGCCTGCCTACCGCAGGGTTCCCAATAATTTGTCCCAATGTGTGAAGTACGGTGAGAAGTTGCAGGTGAAGTGAGAGTGATGGAGGTCGTGGTGCACCACGCCCCCATACCACCCGAAAGGTACCAGTCTGTGCGTGGACCAAGGGAAGTCATAACCTGAATGGTCCTCCACCGACAGCCAGATGTTGACCACATGGAACACCAGTACGGTGAGCGGATGACATCCGAGCAGCGTCACGTTCACCATATCAAAGAAACCCAAGGAAAACAGCTCCCAGGCACTCAAGTATTGCGTGGCCAAAGCAAAGGAGAGCGAGTTCTGGTGGTGCACTTTGTGGAAGGTCCGGTACAGCCAGGGCACTTTATGGTGCAGCAAATGCCACGCGAAGAACTCAGCATCAAAGAGCAGCAGACAAATCACGACATGACACACCAACTCCGGCAGTCCAGGAGCGTCCAACGGCAGGTTGTCGGGACTGCAGACCCTGTGCAGCAGTGTCACCGGGAACACGAACATCACGTGCTGGTAGAAAGTCAGCTTCAGGCAGGGCAGCAGCTGCCCAGCCGAAGGCGAGAAATCCGGATGGATCTTGTAGCGTCGCAGCGCCGGCACCCAGGGGTACAGCGCGTCCAGCACCACGAAAGGCAGACAGAAGCCCACGTAAGTGGTGATCGCGAAAATGACGGGGAAAAAGGCCGACTGGACGAAAGTCCTCGAGAGGTCCCAGAGCGGCTGTAGGAACAGTTGGTTTGAGCTGCAGCTACTATTGCTCATGGTGAAGCGGACAGTCGCAGCTCCCGCTCGCGTCCCGCCGACTGTTTTTAAGGCTGTAGCCCCGCCCCGAGTTCAGACAGCCACATTTCCCTTCCCTCCCTCTCCCGAAAGCGTAGAACTCGAATCAATAAATAACCCTCCAGGATTGCGTTTGGTTGCTATAAATACACACAGTTACAGCTGCATTTAATTGGTTTTTATGGCTGCATGTATATACAGTGTTATTCATCCACTTTTTATATGCACGCAGAATTATGTTCTGATTTTTTTTTTTAATTGATGTACAATCTGCATAGACTACAATGCACAGATTTTCGGGGGCGTTTGTGAGTTCATCACAAGTTAATTCACCTGTCATTAACCAATCAAGATTAAAAATATTTCCATCACACTTTGCAACCAATGCAGTAAGACTTGTGTTTTTAAATGCATACGTATAAATTGCATTATTTATGTGTTTTTATAACGACTCAAGAATAACTGCATTTTTCTTTTCAAACTTTTTAAATCGGGTTAGCATTTGTATTTCAGATCATTCCTATCTGCGCAACCTAAGGGTTGCTGTGACGTTCTAACCTGCAGCGGAGCGGCAAACTATCCTTCCTCAAACTACCCTCCCTCAGGAGGGACTGTGGATCCCAAGCCACCCGCGGTGGAGGCCAGGGCAGGAAATTAAACCCAATGGGTGGGAGAATAGGAATCTCTGCCAGTTGCATTATCTCCTGAGAAGCGCTTTTCCGCTCTGCTTGCATCCTTGCCAGTAAAGGTCTAAGGGAACTGGCAAGTATGACACTCAGCGGCCCCTGGAGCCCAGACGAGTGACAGGGGCACAGAGGCACCGCTGCCCCGACTGCTAGGCTTCCCTTGGGGAAAAGAAGAAAGCTATCGTACTACCAATGTCCTACGCGGTTCTTGCTAAGAAGACATTAAATTTCAAGTTGGGACGGGAGAAGAGGGAAGTTATAGTGGAAACAATGAAATCAGTAAACCACCCACTTTCTTCCTCAAGGAGGTTTAAGAAGCCCTTGAATGAACTGGTGACATCATGCCTGTTAGCCTCTTTCCTCTGCTGGCTTCCAAGAGCCAACTTGCCCCTCTTCCTCCACCTCCCTTCCCAAAACCCTGCCAGGCCCAGTGAACCGAATTGGGGAGCTGTTCTGGTCCCCTGAGTTACCCTGTCCCCAAACAATCTGGCTCAGACTGAGCCCAAGGAGATTGGTGCTAGGGAGAGCTCTAGGAAGATCCCAGGAAAAGCACAGAAAATAACTTCCGAGTTTGAATCCTGCGACACAATTTACGCTTAGATGACAAAGGTTTTGGACAAAAACTTTGGAATCAAACACCACTCCCAACCTCAGCTTTGCCCCTTCTTTATGTACAAGGTTGAGACAAGCGCTACACTAAAAATCAGCTTATTTTTCCTTATGCCCCCAAATGGAGCTATTAATAGTCACCCTCTCATGACGCTGTTGTGAGCATTAAATTGAATAGTAATATTAATGATAAGGCTACTATGTAATGCCTCAGGGGACCACTAGTCATGTTGGACTTATAAAGCTTCATTTCATAATCAAATGATTTCATAATCCTCATTTCAGCTTCAGAAGAGTTTAGTCTGCAATCCTGCTATGTAGGAAATATTATTGTGATTTCATAGAAGTAAAATCATTGTGCTTGGCACAGAGTAAACATATGAAAATACACACATTATTTTACATTCATATTCCACATTTCATCAAAAGATAATTGAAGAAGCTTGCCATAGCAATCAATATTGAGTGAAGAAAAATACATGATAAAAGCCTACTATTATGAGTTATGAATAAGTCCAACAAAAATAGAGACCCATACATAAGCCTGGTGTTGTCAGTGCCATCAAGTTGGTTTTCATTCACAGTGACCTTGTATAGGGTTTCAGAGTGGCTGGTGGGTTTGAACCACCAACCTACTGGTTTCAAGGCCATTACTTATCCTACAGTGCCACACAAGGGCTCATAAATAGGATACGCTCACACATATATGCCAATTCAGAATTTCTCAACAAGTGTTTATCCCCACACTTCCACTAATGGATGATGGCTATTTCTTAGATATAGATTCCCTAGAGTCCTATAGGAATTTCATTCATTCATTCATTCATTCATTCATTCATTCATTCATTCATTCATTCATTTAGTATCCTTAGAATGCCATAAGAGGGAGCTCTGGGAGCTAGTATGTAGCAAGGACAGCAGTTTGCATCGACCAGCTGCTCCACAGGATAAAGATAAGGCTTTCTGTTCCCATAACAATTTATAGCCTAGGAAACCCTGTACACAGATGCTTTGATTCAGAACCAACTCCATAGCACTTGAGTACCACCACCACCATGCCATGAGGATTTTATCATATTCTACTTTTGTCTTGATAAGGAAAAGTTTTGGAAGTAGTTCTGATCTCCTTAGGAGGCAATGCAAACATGGAGAGAGGCTAGGTTTTCCCATGCTCCTCTGATATGTGTTGTTGATAGGTGTCTTCAAGTTGGCCTTGACTCATAGTGACCTTATGCACCACAGAACAAAACCCTGCCGAATGCTGTGCCATCTTCACAATTGTTGCTACGCTTGAGCCCATTCCTGCTGACAATGTACCAATCCATCTCATTAGGGAGTTTTCCTCTTTTTCACTTACCCTCCTCTTCACCTAGGATAATGTTCTTCTCCAAGGACTACTCCCTCCTCATTTTTTGTTTAAGAAAAATGAGAAATTATTTGAGAAATGAGAGATGAAGTCTCACCATCCTGGCTTCTAAGGAGCATTCTGGCAGTACTTCTTCAAACACAGAATTGATTGTTCTTCTGGTATCCATGGTACTTCTGATAATCTTCTCCAACACCATAACTCAAATGCATCAATTCTTCTACAGTATTCCATATTCATTGTCCAACATACACATGCATATGAGGCCAATGAAAATATCACGGCTTGGGTCAGGTGCACCTTAGTCCTCAAACTTATACTTTGCTCTTTAATGCTTTAAGGAAGTCATGTGCAACATATTTTCCTAATGCAATGCGTTGTTTGATCTCTTAACTGGTTCTTCTGTAAGTGTTGATTGTAGATGCAAGCAAAATGAAGTCTTTGACAACTTGAACCTTTCTCCAATTAGCATGATATTATTTATTGGCCCACTTGTCGGGAATTTTGTTTTCTTTACCTTGAGATGAGATCTATATTGAAAGCCGTGGTCTTTGAACTTCATCAGTAAGTATTTTAAGTTGTCTTCACTTTCAACAAGCAAGAATGTATCATCTACCTACACCTATGGATGAAGTAGCTCAAGAGAGGGAACAAATCTTTACAGCGAGGATCATTCCCACCCCCTCTATACACAGAGTAGACAGGGATGGGCAACTTGGACGTTGGCTACCCAAAATGGGGGTAGGGGGGCTACAAAGGCAAGAAGTGACTAGTTTACAAGCTTTCAAGAGGGAGCCTAGATCCAGAGGGTGTGGAGGAAGGTAGAATCTCTACTAAGCAGTATCCAATCTGTCTGGGTGGGACTGATGAAAGGAGATGAGGATAGGTCTCTTGTGGTACAATAGTGAATAAAATGTTATCCAGACTGACTGTAAGGGTTGGAAATGTAAAGGTAGACAGATGTTTTGTAGCAAAAGGAGGGGAGTGATTGACATTGCAGTCCAGGAGTGGGGGTCCCTGGGACCATCAAGGGAGAATAGTGGAGTGCGGGACCCTACCCAGAACAACAGTGATGCCAGAGATGGAGGCAGAGATGATGACATGGAGAGATGGAGCAGCTGCGGACTCTAGACCCAGAGAGGGAGAGGGGCTGTGTGCTGACGACCAGGGGGTGGGGGGAAGGCTTGCAGAGTATACCCTTTGGTTTGTTGATAATGCATGGAGATGATTGTAACCATAGCAATGAAACAATATATGATAGGATGAATGTAAAGCTAATGTTCTCCCATGTAAACTATCACAAAATTCACAATAAAACATTTAAAAACATGTATCATCTGCATATTGCAGGTTGTTAATGAGTCTCCCTCCAATCCTGATGCCACATTTTTCTTCATATAATCCAGTTTCTCAAATTATTTACTCAGCATTAGGTTGAATAAGTATGATGAAAGAATACCAACTTGGCACACACCTTTCCTAAATTTAAACCATTTGGTATTCCCTGGTTCTGTTTGAACAACTGCCTCGGTCTTTGTAAAGGTTCCTCATGAACACAATTAAGTGTTCAGGATTACTCATTCTCCACAGTGTTCTCCATAGCTTGTTATGATCCACACAATTGAAAGCCTTTGCACAGTCAATAAAGCACAGGCAAACATCTTTCTGGTATTCTCTGCTTTCATCCAAGATCCATCTGATGTCAGCAATGATATCTTATGTTCCACATACTCTTCTGAATCTGGCTTTAACCTCTGGAAGTTCTCTATCAATGTATGGGTGCAGTCGTTTTTTAATTATCTTTAGCAAAAGTTTATTTACATGCAAAATTAATGATATTGTTCAATAATTTCTGCATTCACCTCTCTTTGGAATGGCACAAGTATGGATCTCTTCCAGTCAGTTGGCCAGGTAGTTGTCTTCCAAATTACTTGGCATAGATGAGTGAGTGCCTCCAGTACTGCATCAGTTTGGTAAAACATTTCTATTTGTATTCCATCAATTCCCAGCTCCTTGGTCTTTGTCAATGCCTTCAACATACTTTGGACTTCTTCCTTCAGTATCATTGGCTCTTAAACATATGCTATCTCTTGAAATGGTTGAACATCAACCATTTCTGTTTGGAACTCTGTGTATTCATTCCATCTTCTTTTGATGATTTTGGCATCATTCAATATTTTGCCCATAGAATCCTTCAGTATTACAATTCAAGGTTTGAATTTGCATAAGAGTAATTGATGGTCTGTTCCACAGTCTGCCTTGTTTTGACTGATGATATGGAGGTTTTCCACAATCTCTTTCCACAGGTGTAGCCAATCTGA